GTGATAAATCACCCAAACTGACTAACATGAAGAGAAACAGAGTAGTTTGTGTGATTTATATGAGAAATTTTATTAGTACTGTACTTTCTAATTATTTCCACTTATTTTCTCACRAAAAAAAATCATTAGATATAAAAAGATGCCATAAATGTCCAGTAAGTAGTGAAATCTACAAAGCACTATAAAAATAATCATTATGAAAAAARCCTACCTTCACCAGCTCAAAGGGAAAACGTTCATGAAAGATCCGATTGATTTTGGCTCCCCCAGACAGGTTGGAGGTATCCACCTGATCTCCGGACCCTTCGATGCACTTCTCAAAGTCCACCCCAAACTGCTGCACCATCCTGCAGATTTGACATTAAATAGGTCCAAATGATTTATTTCCTGAGTGAAAAATCCACTTTGATGTATTTGCATGTGTGTAAAAACAGAAGGTACGSACTGAAGCAAGGCCTTGGTTTTGCGCGCAGGGTCGTCGGGACGGAAGTTCTTGAACTCCTCCACTTCTTTCTCCAGTGACAACAGCTGGCTTTGCAGCTTGCTGCGTAACCCTGGCAATGTGTCGCGGATGTGATTGGTGAGTTGCTGGAGAGAAATAGAAGTTAAGACGAGTAATCATTTCGTTCAAACATGCAGGAGGTCGTGACTGTCCTAGCAGTGTGTTGAAACGTTGCTGGAGGTTTCTTCCTGATTAGCAGGGAGTTTTTCCTCTCCACYGTYTGCTCAGGATGGGAGRCTGTGAYGAAGTGATYCAACACAATCTGCTGSTTTCTTYTTTAGATTGTTCTTTTYATGTACAGTGCCCTGAGAYAACGTATGTTGTGACTTGGCGCTATATAAATAAACTGAACTGAAYTGAAATGTGATCAGGTGTGTGTCTGACCTGATTGAGGGTTTTTTGTAGGTGAGGAGTTCCCATCCGCTCTGCCAAATGTCTGTACGCAGGATGGGACAGGAAAAACTTCCTCTCAGCAGCCAGAGCAGCACAGATGTCCTTCTTTCCATCAATGTCCTTTTGACTGCGGTTCACCACCCCGATGTAACCTAAAAAGAAAAGTCCTGGTTTTATTAGGAGGAAACAAAAATCCAACACAACAAATCAAAGCTGTGGACAGAATCGTGATTAGGAAAAATATTGGAAAATGGATGTAATTAAATCATTTTTTAAAGTTATTTTTACTTCTTGGTTTAGTGTCAACTTGCAAGATTCTGACTAGTGCACTAATTTTGTTTAAATCTCCTATTTTACTCATGAAGCCCTATATTTCTTCTCAGGCCAAGTGTCAGTGACCTCTTTAGTTTACTGTAACACGTCATCATGTTTCAAAATTTAACTCGTTATCTATCAGGACAATATCTGTTTAGAAGTAACCATTCTTGTTGCTGTTTATCAAACATCATTCTCTCCTTGGCACAGTTTGTCTGTTGTGATAACATGTTGTATAAATAAGTGTATTTGGCTAAGTTCACTCTGCAGGTCTTAATGCTCAGTTCTGATTTTTTTTAAAAATCCGATCTTTTTGTGTGAACGTTCACA